GAATGACACATATACTAAAGAGTCTACAACTTTTTAAAGTAATGACCAATTTCCAAACACCCAGTAAAACAAGAGGATGCCATAACAGGCACTGTCTTGTTTCACTATTGTCTTGTCTTACTGGAGTTTGGAAATTGGTCATTACAGAGATCATGCATAGATTAACAGAGATAATGCATAAGCTTGATGAATTGAAGGTTAACTACAAATCATTCTCCTTTATTAAAACAAGATTCCTACTAGACAACAATGACAATTTGAGGTCCTCTCCGTTGCGGGGAATAGCTAGAGATGGTTTACTCCCTCATCTGTTGGGGATCTTTACCCTTCAACATGCTCTGCTTCCTGTGTTCCTTTTAAAATTTTCCACAAATCAGAATTTTCCCTAAACCTAGCTAATTCCCTATATTAGTGTATTTAATTTACTTTCCAAAATTATAAACAAGTCCTAAAAATAATTCGATACTTAAGATTGTCAGTGCCCCCTTCCTTTAGCTCAGAAATTCAAAATAGGTACAGAAATTACAAAGTGAGTGAAAGACAAAGAATAGGTCAGATATTTTGCTGTCAGGTTAAAGAATGGATGGGGTTTCTAATGATGTGGATTAATGGGACCAAAGATAACCTGAAAAGAAGTCTGGGTTTGGGTTATTTTTTGCCTAACTTTGGACTTTTTGCTATAGAAACAAAACATACTGTATTTAACTTTAGAAGGTTTGAGTAATTCCCCGATTAAAGTTCAGTGTTACCACTTAATTCAATTTGAGCATGTTTTTCCACAAAGTTATCAAAATGAATGAAGCCCAGTCCAAAAATGGAAGAAAATATTCTAAAAATCAGTCATTTTGAGAAAAAGCTAATCATTAATACTAACAACTGAACCAGATAGCAATCAAGACAGAAACAACAAAAAGAAAAGCTCCAAACATGGAGAAGTGGTTCATAATACTGAACTATTCTACACAGAGAAACTTATGGGATTCAGGTGTATGTTTCTCAATAGTGGAATAAAACAAAACATTACAACATTGAGTCTCTCCAAAGGAATGTAAGAAAATGTTGTTAAACGAACCCTGGACAGATGACATAAGGGGAGAAAATTTTGTCATGGCTACATGCATCGTATGTTTTTAACTCATCAACTAGAATAGATAACCCTGAAAAGAGCCTAATATGTTGGGCCACAAAGAATACACCTATGAGCTTCATGATTAAATACATTCCCTTGAATAAGTCTGCTCCACGGTCACATACCAAACTTTATGTTGGCAATTTATCGTGGACAATGTGAATTAAACAGTCTGTCACTGCCACAAGGAAAAATGCAGCAACATCCCATGTACAAAGCAAGCAAAAAGATGCTGTATAAAATGGACAGGGATGAGATGCAGGAAGTTTACTTTTAGTTGCCTCCTCGTTGGAGCTCTAAACCTATACATGCTGACTCAATTACCCATCCTCTCTAGGTCTACTTCCCTAACTATAACATTAGGAAGATTTCTTTTTTTTTTTTTCTTCCTTACTGTATTGTAACATGTTTATTAAGGATCAACCCCTATCAGTACTCAACATTAGGAAGATTTCTTTTTTTTTTTTTTTTTTTTTTTTTT